AGCCTGGGAGACAGAGCAAGACTCTGTCTCAAAAAACAATAATAATAATAAAAAATAAATTCATGTTACCATTTATAAGTAAGAGCTAAATAATAAGAATGCATAGACACAAAGAGAACAATAAATACTGAGGTCTAGTTCATGGTGGATGATGGGAGGACAAAAAAGATGAGAAAAAATACCTGTTTGGTACAATTTTTAGTATCTCAGTGACAATATAATCTGCACACCAAACCCCCATGACACAATTTTAGCTATATAACAAACCTGCATGTGTACTCAGGAACAAAAAATAAAAGTTAAAAGGAAAAAAAATCCATGAGTTTGAGAGAGTGCAATGTAGGAGGTAGGACTGGTTTGTACTACAGCTCGCGGCCCAGGTGTGACTCTACTCTAATTTATTTCTGTATTCATGCAGGCAGATGAGATTATGGACAGGTGGTCCAGAACCCTAGGTTGGTGGAGAAAACAGGTTGCTGCTGCAGATTCAGTGTCTGGGGGTGAGGATATGCCAGGAGACTTGTAGACATTTGTGGGCCAAAAAAATTAGGATCAAAAATGCTGTGGTGAAATTCCTGAGGGTGGTGTCCAGCCCTGGGAGTGGTATAGACACCTCAATGCTAGTGGGTGTGTTTGTGAGTGGGTAGAAATCTTGTGCTGACAGCTGTGGAAGAAGGGAATCTGCCATCAGAGCTTCTTTCCTTTAAGTTTTCAGTCCTCTCTCACCCTGGGAGGAGACTTAGAATCACAAAACAATGGGCACTGTGACAGAAAAGCAGAGCCTCCCAGAGTTTCATTCCAGGCCAGGCCTCTGTGGTATCTTTCCTCTGGCACCAAATCCGTAGTTTGCTGAACACCAAGATTCTCCAACATCAACTCATTGTCTAAAATTTGCATTCTGACACCACCCATTCAGCACAGACCCTGATTCAGGACTCAGTCGCACAGTATTCTCCTTACTGCAGATGTCAGTAACAAACTCAGTGAATCCATCTACACTCCTGAGCTACTGTTTAAAAATTGGGGACTCCCACAACCTCCCTCAAGTTCAATGATTTGATAGAGCCACTAACAGAACAAGCAAAACAACATAGTTATGTTGACCAGTTAATTATAAAAGACACAACTCAGAAAAAGCAAAATGGAATAAATGTATAGGACAAAAAAAAAAAGGGTGGGGAAAGATGAAGCACATAGGTAATCCAGGTAAACAGCTGTGATTAATAAAATTCTCCATCCTTTGTGTGCTCCAGGAACAGTTTATGGAAAGAAACACCTTTTCCATTATAACTTAGATGGTGCCCTTTTTTTACCGATCACATAGCCAGACACAAACTCTGCACATTTTCTTCTTTTACTCATATAAAAATCACCTAGGTCGGGCGCGGTGGCTCAAGCCTGTAATCCCAGCACTTTGGGAGGCCGAGACGGGCGGATCATGAGGTCAAGAGATCGAGACCATCCTGGTTAATACGGTGAAACCCCGTCTCTACTAAAAAAAAAAAATACAAAAAACTAGCCGGGCGAAGTGGCGGGTGCCTGTAGTCCCAGCTACTCGGGAGGCTGAGGCAGGAGAATGGCGTGAACCCGAGAGGAGGAGCTTGCAGTGAGCTGAGATCCGGCCACTGCACTCCAGCCTGGCGACAGAGCCAGACTCCGTCTCAAAAAAAAAAAAAAAAAAAAAAAAAATCACCTAAATTTGCCCAGGCACGGTGGCTTATACCTGTAATCCCAGCACTTTGGGAGGCCGAGGTGGGTGGATCACCTGAGGTCAGGAGTTCAAGACCAGCCTGGCCAACATGGTGCAACCCTGTCTCTACAAAAATGCAAAACATTTAGCCAGACATGATGGCTGGTGCCTGTAATCCCAGCTATTCAGGAGGCTGAGGCAGGAGAATCACTTGAACGCAGGAATCGGAGTTTGCAGTGAGCCAAGATCATGCCATTGTACTTCAGCCTGGGCGACAGAGTGAGACTCCATCTCAAAAGATCTAAATTCTAGTTATTTCATCCTCAATTTGCCATTTCCCTCACACCTTCTTCTTAATCTGTTTGCTCCTCCTTATGAAAGAAAGTCCTTGTCTGCCTAAGTTTTGCAATCCTTAAAGATACTGTTAGTACTTCCCCCTGTTGCAATATTCCTTTGGAATTTCTTTTTTTTAACATAAATCTAACTTTGTTTATATTTCACAAAGTCTAGAAACTATCTCATAACAATAACAACTTCATCTTCAGCAAGAACCTCTGAGACCCCTTCTATTTCAACCTTAACTGCCTGTGGATCCCCAGCTTTCCAGGGCTCCATAACTTCTCTCAGGATAAAAGCTTCTTTCATGGCTGGGACATCTGCAGGAGCGGCTCCCCAGAAAGAATTAACTGGGCCTTTAATAACCTTTTTTTGCAGGCTCAATATTAGCCTTAGCTTAGAGTCACTGGGCTCAAGTTTTAATTTCTATGACAGAGTTACTCACTTGGTTTTTTTATTTCACTATTTCTCTACCCACTTAGAGAATCCAGGGGGCAGAAATTATTTCTGTGTTTTTTTATCAGCATCTTTGGCTTAACAGCAATGTGTCTCTAAGAAATAGAAGCTGAGTTGGGTGAAGACAATTTTAATGTCTTTGAAAAAGAAGTACAACAGGAGACTCCTCTCAGCCCTGGGGCAGCCACCTTCTTTCTTAAGAGGCTATACCCCATAACTCAGGTTGTGATATAAGGGAAAAAAAAAGACCCAGTAGCTGATTTTCACTAGACACTCTAGCAGATATAGCCGTGGTGCGTATCTTGGTTTATCCCCAGAAAATACTGAAGCCCAGGACCAAGAACAAAACTACAGGGTGGGTGAAGACGTCTCACCTCATAGTTTCCAAAGGGAAACTTTGACCCAAAAACATTCTGATAAGATCTCTGTGCCTATACAAGATGAAAGCAAAGAGGAACAATTTTTTTTTTTCACACTACAGCATCAGGGAATTATACTTTGCTTTCTTCTCATGGAAAGTATTTACAAAAGAAAACAAATATTTTTAAAGTGCCATCCAATGCGTTGTCAAAAAATGATTAATTAAAACATGGTATAAAAAATGTAAATTGAAGGATGAATAATTGATAATGTGAATTAGGGAAAACTGGCATTCGGGAATGTCAGAAGAAACTGAAAATTTAGTATTTTATTATTTACTATTTTTGCAAGCCACAGTTAAGCTGAAGAAATGATGGGGGGGCAGGGGGCGGTGGTCGGTAAAACTTGAGACTCTGCTTGGGACACGTGTAAAAAATGCAGCGGAAAAGGCCGGGCGTGGCTCACGCCTGTAATCTCAGCACTTTGAGAGGCCAAGGCAGGCGGATCACCTGAGGTTAGGACTTCAAGACCAGCCTAGCCCACATGAAACCTCGTCTCTACTAAAAATACAATAATTAGCCAGGCATGGTGGCGGGTTCCTGTAATCCCAGCTACTCCGGAGGATGAGACAGGGGAAAAGCTTGAACCTGGGAGACGGAGGTTGCAATGAGCAGAAATCTCGCGCCTGCACTCCAGCCTGGGCGACAGAGTGAAACTTTCTCAAAAAAAAAAAAAAAAAAAGGAAAAAAAATCAGCGGAAAATTAGTCTCCTGTGGCTTGTGAAAATAATTAAGTGGCAGGCAACTAGACTGAGGTGGCTCTAGTCCCTGGATTTCTACTTTAAAGAAATTTAACTCAAATACATGTTTTGTTTTGTTTTTTGAGATGGAGTTTCGCTCTTGTTGCCCAGGCTGGAGTGCAATGGCGCAATCTCGGCTCACTGCACCATCCACCTCCTGGGTTCAAGCGATTCTCCTGCCTCAGCCTTCCGAGTAGCTGGGATTACAGGCATGCACTACCATGCCCGACTAATTTTGTATTTTTAGTAGAGACGGGGTTTCTCCATGTTGGTAAGGCTGGCCTCCAACTCCCGACCTCAGGTGATCCGCCTGCCTGGGCTTCCCAAAGCGCTGGGATTACAGGAGTGAGCCACTGCGCCTGGCCTCAAATGCGTGTTTTTATAAATTACTAAATTGGGGGAAACAAAATTGAGGCTTAGCCAACTATAAACTACCAATTAATCTCTGGTTACATAACAAGGAAATGTCCACCTTGATCGCACAAATTAAGAAACTATGCAACTGTACCTAACCAATTATTGAATTTGATTTTCTTTATCGCACCTTATAAAAGTTTTTTCTTCAAGTCCCTGCTATGGACGACAAATAACAAACATAGCTGGGTACTCTACAATTTTTTTTTTTTTTTTTGAGACGGAGTCTCGCTCTGTCGCCAGGCTGGAGTGCAGTGGTGGCATCTCGGCTCACTGCAACCTCTGACTTCCTGGTTCAAGCGATTCTCCTGCCTCAGCCTCCTGAGTAGCTGGGATTAAAGGCACGTGACACCACGCCCGGCTAATTTTTGTGTTTGTAGTAGGGGCGGGGTTTCACCATATTGGCCAGAATGGTCTCGATCTCCTGACATCGTGATCCACCCGCCTCGGCCTCCCAAAGTGCTGGGATTACAGGCGTGAGCCACCACGCCCGGATTTGTGAATCACTCTTTAATTAAATTCTTTAATGTTTTTGCGGTGACTTCTGTACATTTTTAATAAGAGAAAAGAGAGACTCAGAACCCCACAGACCAAAGCTCTTCCCATTCACGAACCCCGCACCCCGGGTCAGGATTCTCCCCTGTCTACCCTCCCGTGGTCCCTGCACAATCTGGGGAGACGCGGCGCTGCAGATGCTGAGCTGCCGAGAGACGGCTCCAGCCCAGGGCAGTCACTGTGCAGGGAAGAGACAGGACGCCCGGGGTCCCGGCTGTCAGGGCAGCCGCCATCTTATGGCTGAGGGGGACTGAGGCTGAGCTAGCCAAGGAAAACTCGGGCTGATTGTGGAGCTGACTGCGAAGAGGCCCGAGTCCCGCCACAGCCACTTCCCACCGGTTCCCACTAGCCCCTTCCCCTCTCCTGGGATGTCGGACCCGGCACTCTCACCATTTCTAGGCTTCCAGGGGGACCTGGCGTCTTAGCTGGGGATCTCCCAACGCCTGCAGGTCACAGGGCCACAGAGGCTGGGCCTCTAGGAGAAGAGGACACAGACCAGGGAAGACGAGACCTGCAGCTCTGACTGAAGCGAGAGACAAAGTCCCCGCCAAACCCGGAAGCCGCCCTGTCCGCTCCAGCTTCGTGTCTGATTGGACGGTTTCCAGCCCAGCGCCCCTGATTGGGTAACGTTTAAGGCCCCGCCCCTTTAGACCCGGAGTGACAGGAGACGTGATCTGAGGCTAGACTGAATGAAGAGTGACAGCCTAAGATGTAGCCTTTTCAGGCAGGGCTTCCTCCCTGAGATAAGCCAGGCCCGACCCAGAGGTATTTGAATTTAACCTTGTGTGTAAGGTCATATGCGTTTGTACACAATACATTATGTGACCGAGCGCAGTGACTCACGCCTGTAGTCCCAGCTACTCGGGAGGCTGAGGCAGGAGAATCGCTTGAACCCGGGAGGCAGAGGTTGCAGTGAGTCGAGATCGCACCATTGCACTCCAGCCTGGGCGACAGAGTAAGACTGTCTCAAAAAAATAAAGAAAAAAATACGCTATATGGTTATTCACGAAAAAAAAATAACAATTATTTTAAAATTTCAGCTTTCCTGACCTTCCTAGCTTCTGGTTTTTTGATCAGGCAGCCTGAGATTTTAAGAAGGAGGTAATCATGGCCGGGTGCAGTGGCTGACACTTGTAATCCCAGCACTTTGGGAGGCCGAGGCCGGCAGATCACCTGAGATCAGGAGTTCGAGACCAGCCTGACCAATATGATGAAACTCTGCCTCTACTAAAAATACAAAAATTAGCCCGGTGTGGTGGCAGGTGCCTGTGATCCCAGCTACTTGGGAGGCTGAGAAAGGTGAACCCAGGAGGCGGAAGTTGCATTTAGCCGAGATCCCTTTGAACTCCAGCCCGGGCAACAAGAGCAAAACTAAACTCCGTCAAAAAAAAAAAAAAAGAGGCAATCTTCTAAAATAGAATGTGAGCCAAATGTGAATTTTAAATTTTCTAGTAGCCAAACTTTAAAAAGAAAGAAGGAACAGGTCAAACTGACTGTAACCCAATATATCCAAAATATTACTATATGAGCAATGTGTAATTATTAATATAGCATGTATATAGTTGGAACTATATCATTGGAACCAAGTCTGGAATTTTTTGGGAGGGAATTTTTTTTGAGATGGAGTTTCGCTTTTGTTGCCCAGGCTGGCGTGCAATGGCACGGACGTGGTTCTCCGCCTCCTGGATTCAAGCAATTCTCCTGCCTCAGCCTCCTGAGTAGCTGGGATTACAGGCATCTGCCACCATGCCCAGCTAATTTTTGTATTTTTAGTAGAAATGGGGTTTCTCCATGTTGGTCAGACTGGTCTGGAACTCCCTACCTCAGTTGATCCACCCGCTTCGGCCTCCCAAAGTGCTGGGATTACAGGCGTGAGCCACCGCACATGGGCTACTAAGTCTGTTTTTTGCCTTTCCAGCACATCACAGTGTAGACCGAGTCACATTCCAGGCACTCAGGAGCCACACACGAAGTGCGCCTCTGATGTTATGCAGGTGAAGGGCCTGAACAAATTTATTCTGCCAGTGTGAAGGAAGGGCCTCTTCCTAACAACATCTCTCTTCAGTTTCGAGGCTGGAAAAGATAGTGGCCGTAGAAAGAGCAGAGGGCAGCAGGAATAAATTAACCACAAGTAGCCCACCTTCCTTCCAGAGATCAGAAAGGGAACAAAGGATGATGATAGGTCTGGAGGAGAAGAAAACTCTAAGTCTTCATATCTGCACATACTCTTGACTTGCAATGTTTATATATAGAGAAAACAGATTAAAAGCAAACACATTTTGCTATTTGGCCTTGAACGTAATCATTAGGCCTCCTGGATTCACGTGATTCTCGTGCCTCAGCCTCCGGAATACCTGGGATTTTAGTCGTGTACCACCATGCTCAGCTAAATTTTTTGTATTTTTAGTAGAGATGCGGTTTTGCCATGTAAGCCAGGCTGGTCTTGAGCTCCTGGCCTCAAGTGATCCGCCCACCTCAGCCTCCCAAAGTGCTGGAATTACGGGCATAAGCCACTGTGCCTGGCTATGATATATTTTTACATTTATGGTTTAGGTGATGTGTCCTTCTTCTCTGCCAGGCCCCTGCCAAAATGTGGGATGCTGACATATCCCTGGACCTAGCACCTAGGTAATGTGACTCTTGTATTTCACGTAGGCCCCACGTATTTTGAGTACTGTGACATATGACTAGACCAAACACCTATAAGATGGGAGGCACCTGTCTATGCCCTGTAAACAGGGTGTTAGCCCTACCATTCTCAAGAGCCTTATGACATATCTCTGTATTCATCACCTAGGAGATGTGACTGTCCTCTGCTGCCTGCATCCTGCCAACAGGAAAGATTGTGACATAACATTTGACTCCGCAACAAGGGTGATGTGTTTTCTTTTCCTGGGTCCTGTTCACAGGGAGTCTTGTGACATATCACTGGGCACAGCACCCACGTCCTGTGACTCTGCTGCCTGTGCCCCCCTTTCAGAACAGGAATGTAACGTATCTGTGGCCAAGCACCCAGGTGACATGACTCTTCTTTCTAGTTTCTGCCGTGAGAAAGGATTGTGACGTATCTCTGGCCTAGCACCAAAATGATGTGACTCTCTTGCTCACAAACTCTATGCACAGGTGGGATTGTAAAATATATATATTTTTTTAGCTCATAGGTGAGATAACTCTCATACCTCAAATCAACAAATAGGGGACATACTGTCTTTCAAAGCTAGGCTTAGGGAAATACATAAGATTCTGGGTCTCCTCCTTGTATGAAGGTCATAGTGGATTACCACTCTTGTATATCATATAAACCCTTGGTGGTACAGAGAGTGTCATGGCAGGGCCCAGCATACAGGTGATATTGCATTTCTTGTATACACACCGCATCATCTATTAGGATTGTCACCTGACACATGGACGGAGCCTATTGGTAAGGTCTTGAATCTCACATGTGGATGCAGTCTACAGTTGAAATTGTGATTGTCATAGTTGAACGTCCAGCTGAACTTGAGATGGTGACTCATTTCTAACCTAGCTCCTCAACAGGTGAGAACTCTTTTATTTGGAACCAGCCAGTTATAGAGATGTTGACTCTCATACCTGGGCTTAGAACCACAGGTACAATCATGGGTCCATACCATCATGAAGGTCACAGAGTGGTTTGCAACTCTCATTAATAGTGTAGAAAGCTCTTGGGTGGTATTGAGAGTCTTAGCAGAGCCCAGCACACAGGTAAGACTGTGAGGCTCACATGCACACCCAGCCAATAGCAAAACTTGTCACCTTTCCATGTGAACACAGCCCACTGTTGAGGTCCCAAGTTTTCCTTGTGAAAACAGTCAAAAGTTGTAAAACTGACTCATATGTGGATTTGGTTCAAAGGTGAGTTGGTGACGCCCAGACCTCTATCCAACACACCTGTGAGTCTGTGGCTCCAGTGAGCATTCACAGTCTGCACAAGAAATTGAGACTCTCACAAACAAATCAAGTGCACCATTGAGATTGTGACTCTTGTACTTAGACCCAACATACAGGAGCTGTTGACTCTCAAACTTAGAACTGGGACATGTGTGAAATTGTTAATCTAATTTCTAAACCATCCAGGTGTGATTGTGACACATGCCTCTGCTCAGTACTTGAGTAATTTAATTTGACTATCCTCCCTGGGCCCAGTTCATAGTTGCAATTGTGACATATTGCTGAACCCAGCAAATAGGTGATGTGACTCCATACTCCTGCCTTGGTGCTGCCCACTGGGGGCATTGTGACATATCACTGGGCCTTGCTTCCAAGTGATATAAGTGTCTCCTTTTAACCAGCCAGTAGCAGAGAGTCTGTGTCTCTTTGCAAGGCTTTGGCAAACAGATGAGTTTCTGGGTCTTCTTTTTGTAAAGACCATGCAGAATTGGCATTCGCTTGCATATTGTGCAAAACTCTTGGGTGGTACAGAGAGTGTCATGACAGAGCCTGACACACAGTTGAGGTTGTGTTTCTCATATGCACAACACAGCAACCCTTAGGATTGGAACCCCCCCACACACACACATATACAGAGCTCACTGCTGAGGTTCTTAATCTCATAAGTGGATACGGTCTGCAGTTGAAATTGTGATTGTCATATGTTAATATCCAGTCAGAGTTGAAATGACTAGATATTCACACATGGCTCAATGGCTATGAGCTTCCTGCAGCTCATAGTCAGGTAAGAAATCTCTTATCTAGACTCAGCCAACTGGAGACATATTGACTCTCATACCTGAGCTTAGGGCCACAGCTCAGGGTATGATCATGGGTCCATACCAACATAAAGTTCTCAGACCAGATTGTAACTCTCTCTCTCTTTTTTTTTTTTTTTTTTTTTTTTTGAGATAGAGTTTTGCTCTTGTTGCCCAGGCTGGAGTGCAATGGCGCCCGAGCTCAGCTCACCACAACCTCCGCATCCTGGGTTCAAGTGATTCTCCTGCCTCATCCTCCCGAGTAGCTGGGATTACAGGCATGTGCCACCACACCTGGCTAATTTTGTATTTTTAGTAAAGATGGGGTTTCTCCATATTGGTCAGGCTAGTCTTGAACTCACGAACTCAGGTGATCTGCCTTCCTCAGCCTCCCAAAGTGCTGGGATTACAGGCTTGAGCCACCACGTCCGGCCAGCAACTCTTATGCATACAGTGTAAAGCCCTCATGTAGGAGAGATTATGTCCTAACAGATCTCAGCACACAGGTGAGATTGTGACACTCACGTGCAAACCCAGCTGACAGTAATGATTGTCATCCCTCCACATGAACACAACCCACTGTTGAGATTCTGAATCTCAAAACCAACAGAAGTTTCAAAAATTGAAAAATTGACTTTCATCCTTGAATCCAGTGTACAGATAAGCTGGTGGCTCTCAGACCAAGATTCAGCATGCCTGAGACTTGAGAGACTGTGAGTCACTAAAGAGACACAGTCTAGAGGATGGATGGAAGGTCTCGTGCACAGATCAAGTCCACAGTTGAGACTGTGACTCCTGAACATAGATGCAACATAAAGAAGGTGTTAATTCTCATACGTGGAACCTCGACATGTGCAGGATGGTTAATTTCATTTATGGACCTTCCTGCAGCTGTGATTGTGACATTCGCCTCTGTCCAGCACCTGAGTTTTTTGACTCTCCTGCCTGGGCTCAGCCCGCAGATTGGATTGTGACACATCGCTGAACCCA